GCTGTTCCTGCTGCCGCTCTCGGAGAAGGCCGCCCGGGCCCGGCAGGACGAGCTCTACTCCGAGCTCCAGGCCCGTGAGGCCTTCGAGAAGGCCACGGTCGAGGTCCCCGCGGGCAGCTTCCAGGGCAGGACGGTGACGGTCTGGGAGCTCATCCACTCCGAGTACTTCACGGAGGAGCAGCGGCGGGAGCTGCTGCAGCAGTACCGCACGGGCAAGGTCACCGTGGAGAAGATCCTCAAGATCGTCATCACCATCGTGGAGGAGGTGGAGACGGTGCGGAGGGAGCGGCTCTCCTTCAGCGGCCTCCGCGCCCCGGTGCTGGCCAGCGAGCTCCTGGCCTCCGGGGTGCTCAGCCAGGCCCAGTTTGAGCAGCTCCAGGAAGGCAAGACGTCGGTCAAGGACCTGTCGGAGGTGGACTCGGTGCGGACGCTCCTCCAGGGCAGCGGCTGCCTCGCCGGCGTCTACCTGGAGGACTCCAAGGAGAAGGTGACTATCTACGAGGCCATGCGGCGCGGCCTGCTCAGGCCCACGGGCGGTCACCGGCTACACCGACCCCTACACCGGGGAGCAGATCTCCCTCTTCCAGGCCATGAAGAAAGACCTGATCGTCCGGGACCACGGCATCCGCCTGCTGGAGGCCCAGATCGCCACGGGCGGCATCATCGACCCCGTGCACAGCCACCGCGTGCCCGTGGAGGTGGCCTACAAGAACGGCTACTTCGACGAGGAGATGAACCGCGTCCTGGCCGACCCCAGCGACGACACCAAGGGCTTCTTCGACCCCAACACGCACGAGAACCTCACGTACCTGCAGCTGCTGGAGCGCTGCGTGCGCGACCCCGAGACCGGCCTGCGCCTGCTGCCGCTGAAGGGGGCGGAGAAGGTGGAGGTGGTGGAGACCACACAGGTGTACATCGCTGTGGGAGGTGATGCAGTCGGACCTGATCCCCGAGGAGCAGCGGACCCGGCTGATGGCCGACTTCCAGGCCGGCCGGGTGACCAAGGAGCGCATGATCATCATCATCATCGAGATCATCGAGAAGACGGAGATCATCCGCCAGCAGAACCTGGCCTCCTACGACTACGTGCGCCGCCGCCTCACGGCCGAGGACCTGTACGAGGCGCGCATGTCGTGGGCCCCGAGCTGCACGAGAAGCTGCTGTCGGCCGAGAAGGCCGTGACGGGCTACAAGGACCCCTACTCGGGCAGCACCATCTCCCTCTTCCAGGCCATGAAGAAGGGCCTGATCGTCCGGGAACACGGCATCCGCCTGCTGGAGGCCCAGATCGCCACGGGCGGCATCATCGACCCCGTGCACAGCCACCGCCTCCCCGTGCACGTGGCCTACCAGCGCGGCTACTTCGACGAGGAGATGAACCGCGTCCTGGCCGACCCCAGCGACGACACCAAGGGCTTCTTCGACCCCAACACGCACGAGAACCTCACCTACATGCAGCTGCTGCGTCGCTGCGTGCGCGACCCCGACACGGGGCTCTACATGCTGCAGCTGGCCGGCCAGGGCTCCGTCGTGCGC